CCCTATTGCGGCCAACAGATTAAGGGACTTTCCTTTTCTGTATGTAATTAACATGGCAATAATATATGGGTAATCTAGTCTGGGCTAAGGAGAACCAACTTTTAAACTCTTAGAAAATAAAGGAGGGTCATTGCTAAGCAAGAAGCTACACAGAGTTGCCTAAAGAATTTTTGTTTCTATGCATTTGTTTCTTTCTTAAGATAAAAGAATCCATAGTCAATCACTCAGCAAAAAAAAAAAAAAAATGACCATAGTAAAGTTCACCAAAGTGTGATTTATATTTAAATTGGGCCTGGGCTGAAATATGTGAGGTTATATTTAACAAAGATGAATGTTTTGTTTCATACTCTAATTAAAAACCTTTGAAAAACCACCAATTGCCATGATACCTGATTTCAATTCTCTTTGCCTAAATAGCTTTGTTACTTAACCTGTTTGTAAAGGATGAGGAACAGTTTTCTCAATGTTGTTTTTAATCTGTTTGAAAAGACAAAGAAAGCAGACTAACAAAGATTTTCCTCTAATTTTGTTTTAATTTTTGGCTTATGAATTTTTCAATGTTTTAAGAGTAGTGGGTGTGTTTTGATGTTACTGACAAATTTCACCCATTTGCTCACATTCCCAGCTGCCCACACTGAGGCACACAAACACCTCACCTTTATAGTGGGGGGAAAAAAAAAAAAAAGACTGTAAGCCTTCCAGCATCACAGGAATAGAAAGCACAGAGGCTATACCAAGCATTAGAAACTGTCTTTCATGATGCATAAAATTCTTTTAAAGGAAATAGACCTCAAGCTACAGCGAATGTTTTCTTGACATAAGAGTCAGCCCCTTCTCAGACACTTTTTTCATAGAAGTATTGGTACTGAGCCATAGGAGACTCACACACCACTGTCCTTGTCTTTTATGCAGTGTTGTGGCACTCCTTGTTTTCAGAATGTCCAAGTGTTTTTTGTCCACATCAACTCTGGTGATTTTTTTTTTTTTTTTTTTTTTATTCTTCCCCAAAAAACATGGAGAAATATAGTGGTTCTGGGTTTGGTTTCTTTCATACAGATAGATACAAAATTTATTGCAAGAGGGATCAGGAAATTTAAACTCAGTGCTAGGATGACATTTTCCTCTATTTCTCCACTCTCTTTCCTTTGACTTAATCAATGAAAAATGCTGTGTTTTACACAGCTTCCTTTAAAAACTTAATCTAACCCAAGTTCACATTAAACTGGTCCAAAATTAACTTCAAAGTTTTGCAAATTCTGTCCAACTTTTTCCTGGCTAATTTAAGCTGGAAGCGAGCAATGAAATTCAATACGCAGAGATTTTTTATGTGTGTGTGTGATTTGTAGTTCAAAAGGGAATTTTTCACTTTCCAGAGCTCTGGGGGTCCAGTCTTATAATATAATGGTGTATGCCCCCACCATCTCAGGACAAAAGCCCCTATCTGACAAATCCCACTCCTCTCACTAACAGCCCCCCTTAGATTTAACCAGAAAAGGCTGTTTAAAATCTATGTAAAAACATTATTAGTTCTTTTCCAAGCAATAGACATTAAATTTCCTACACAAAGGTTGCCCATAATGTTACTGTCCCAATGATTACTAATTAATATTATGTAAATACGTATTATTAACAACAATGAAAATTACTTTTTCATCTCAGTAAGATATAACTAGTGACTTTCTGTGAGTTTATACTTCTTGTATATGGCTGTCAGATATTCTTCAACAGAAGAGCTGAAGGCTTGATCATAGAACTATGTAGCCACTAACATGTTTCTGAAGCAATAGGTTAATAAAGGTTTTTCACTCCTAGCCCTCAAAGTCTGGGCCAATTGATCCATATATAAATAATTCTTTTGTGAAATTTGTGAAAGTGCAAAGCATTCCCCTTTGTACAAGCACAATGTAGAATTTGAAAGCTCAAGGTCTATACCTACCACACCCAAGGGAGCTGCTCATGAGTTCAGTGGTTACAGACTCACCACAGACTCTTCTCTTGCTGTACCTTCACTTTACCGGTTGCCACCAAAAGCATCCTCACAATATTATTTCTCACCAGAACAGCATTTCCAGAGTATTTTAAAGGTCTAATGGAGATATCATCTACCTGGAAAAACAATTAGAACTGTCATAGTCCTGAGTACTCCACAATCTAGTATTGAAGAAGGTCCTGTACAAACACAGACATGTTGGATTAAATATTTTCCTACTTGCTTCTTTAGAAGCCAGGAGAATAAATTCTCCTTTAACTAACAGGATTACACAGATAGAACTGAAGGAGGAATCTGGCCCATATTGCCTTGTACATTTTTTCTCATGGCTGTATCACCAGTCCAGCTAAAACTTTGTTTAATGGCCTATATCTATGACTAGTTGATTTAGCATAGGTTTTTTTTGTTTTCAGTAATATGTAGATGTCTAACCACAAGAGACGCTATGCATATAAACATTTTTAGTTCTCAGTTTGATATATATGTTTTGACTAATTAATTTTAAAAGTATCTATTTGTACTTGTGCCAGATTTTCTGCCATTTCCATACAAAGCCTCCAGTTTGTATACCAGCACTTTATAAATCTCCAAATAAAATCTTCTATGTTTATTTTTCTTAGAGAGAGAGTCCCATTTAAAAATTGTGGGCATCCTTTCTTTATGTGCATTTTACTATCGAGAGGGTAACTGTATTATTTTCTAAGTCATATTGGTGTTCAGCATTTTTTATTATGGGAAGAGGGGAAAAAATATAATACTAAAATATATGGGATATCTACTGTGGGGTTTATCTGCACATAGCTTAAAGCAAGTAGCCCTCATTTTGTTGGCTGATTGTACTGGAGAAAGCCTAGTGCTATTATCCTAAGGGGAGTAAAAAGACTTTCCTGGAGTTGCAGCCAATATATTGTCCACACCCTGATCTCCTAAAGGACACTTACTCCCTTTCTGACAGTGTCTGGTGCCTTCCACCATGTGTATTTCTTCAAGTGTTTAGTTTCTTAAAGTAAATTGTGGAGAATGCCCTTAAAAGATGTCAGCAGATATTTTATAACATATGTTTATTATAAATTTTTTGTTCTCAGTCTGATATATGCATTTGTGCTGATTAATCTTCAAAATAACTATTCGCATTTGTGCCAAATATAAATATACATTTATAATATACTCTTCCTCATCAGAGAGGTGGGGTACTCACCTTCTGGTGCAGGAAGGAGAATGTAAAGCCAGGGTAGGAAGGGAATAATATTATCTAGGCTGCAGCATCCCTGGTCATCTGGCAGCCAGGCACCAAAGCTGGCATTCAATCAGTGCTCCACAATGTTGGGATATGAGATTCACGATGGCATCTATCCTAATTTTTCAGACCCTATCCCTCTCCTGAATACCCCAGCAATCATAGAGCACAATGAGGTCTTCACCGGTTATTGCATTCACCCTGGTCCTCACTGGCGGCACCATGGGGTACAGTTCTGATGCCGTGGGCAGTAGCCAATGATTCCAGAGTTAGCTTAGAGCCTTCTTCTTAATTTCTGACATATGTACCTGGCTTCATGGTAGCTCCCAGAGGGCCTCCATACTGCCATAGAAGCAACCATGATTTTACCCTGGGCAACCTGGCTTTAAAATATTTAATCCAGGATATGTTAACAGCATAACAAGAGCAAGCCTAGAAGCTCTACTTGTTCAAATATTTATGCTTCCTGGGTGAGTCTAGCAAGAAATGCTGCCAAGTGTACTGTTATCAATGTCCTATGCTGGCTAAATATAACATTAACTTGGGCACTGCCCACATGATTTGCAGCAACATATTTGACTGAAATGGTCACGTATGTCCAGTCAGGATACTGAATTCAGGGGGAAGGTGGAGATGAAATGAATCATTTTTGCGCCCTTCAAAATCTGAGCTACTTTGCCAGCTGGAGACACCGACAGAGTCGTTTAGGCAGGCCTATAGCAGCCCTAAAGAGAGCCCTTTCACTCAAGGGGGATGTGAAAGAGGAGCCTGACAGGCATCTTGCACAGTACCTGCACTGGGGACCCCACCGGCAGCTGTGACAAAGGTGCACAGAGGCTGGTGTTTCACCCACATACTCAAAAGGTAAAATTAGGGACATCCTTCCCATGATTTCATAGGCAGGACGACAGTTTTCAGGAATAAGCATTTATCAGAAACATTTCTTTTCAAAAAAAAAAAAACAAACACTGAAAAAGTGGGAGAGGAAAATAAAGGGATGTGTGAGTTTTCTCATTTTGTCTACAGAGTTTTCTCTAGGTGTTACTCCTGAATTGGATCCTGATATTTTTGCTTGCTGGTTTCCTTTCAAGTGAAAATCATTTAATTAGTGTACACAGATCAAGTGCAAGCCTGAAAAAATATCAAGTGTCTCGGGGAGTATTTAGTTATGGGGATTGCTTGAGACGAGTGCACACTATTATAAAAATAATTCACTCATTTCCCAGTGCTCTTCTAATTATGTTTGCAGCCATATCAGGCAAAATGAAAGCTTAATCTGTTTTCAGGAGAAAGCAAGTGCAGTTTCCTGCCACAGAAATGATCCAGCATGTAGGAAATCCAGGTTCCTGCTCCGTGATGATTTAACCAGAGCAGAGCCCGCTTGGTTTCTGACTCTCGTGTAAGCACTTTAGTGTCACTCCCTGATCTGCCAAATCGCATTTTGTGTTTGAGTAGAGCTCTCTACTCATCCTGTTGCTTAACAAGCAAATGATTTCACTTAGTCGAGACTATTTCAGGAACAGAAGCAGGAGTAATATTAAGAAATTCACTCTTAAAATGAAACAAAAAGAAAGCAAGCAAGAAGTTTTCCCGGCGGTCGCTTGGTGTCATGCAGGATTATCTCAGGTTTCTAGTTTCCTAGGAACGTAGTAACTTCCCTGTGGGTTGTTTTGTGGGCGGTGTTTTTGAATATATGCTAATTCAGCTTTCCTGACAGGGAGAGGAGCCGTGTCTGGATTACACAGCTCTCCTGACAGCAAACGGTGCTGAGAGGCTGCCACGGAGCCAGGCCATGCACTTGCACTCGTGAGAGGAGCGCTCGCCCTCCCGGCGGGGCCCGTCGGCACCCCCTGGTCACCTCTGTCACCGGCAGCAGGGCCGACATGTGCCTATGACCATGGAGATAAAGGACTCAGGCAGCGTGGTCCTGACAGCCTACCACCCCCACAGCCCGGCCAGGATCCCGGGCATGGAGCAGAGCTTTGTGCAGGACATCCCTCCCAGCCATTCGCCCACCAGCAGGTAAAGCCTGAGGGATGGGGACCGGTGCCATGCCCTGACGTTTCGCCAGGGTTGGTGGTGGGTTTTGCTGACTGTATGTGTCAGCCCAAGAACGTGTCCCGGTCGCTCAGTCACTTCACGAGCACTTTGCTCTAGTCCTCACCGGGGAAGTGATTCAGCCCAGTGGCGCTGGTCAGGATTGGGAGGGGGAAACGTGAGTGCTTGTTTTTAATCTTGTAAGTCAACAGATCAGGCCAGTTTCCTGCCCAAGATACTCAACAAGACATTCCCCAGGAGGAAAAAAAAAAAAAAAAAACAACAAAAAACCCACACGTGAATCAGGCTTCTGCTCAGATTGTTTAGGACTGTATTACGGAAAGTGAGAAGGCTTGAATGACTGAGTCTGGTGCTCAGAAAGTTGTTTCTGGCTTTGGTTTAGAGAATTATTTAATTCTTTCCTTGTTGACCCACCAAGTCAGGACTAGTCTTTACCTTTTTGTGAAACTGCAGTTGCTGCTTTGCACACTCACATACACACAATGGGATATTGCATCGTTAAAGACTTAGTCTAAATAAGAAAATTCCTTTGAGTTGCAGGAAACTAAGCATTGTCTTAATTAATGCAGTCATGTGTATGTTTACTTCCCTGCTCTGTAAGAACGCATATATTTGCACAGTTCAAAAATAGAAGTTGGGACCATTTTATTGTTTTAGAAAAATCTGACTTTTCTCCTAAATGTACGTGTCTGGCTTTTGCAATTTTCTCCAAAAGAAGTGGCATGAAAGTTCATACTGTAAAAAGTTGAAGAAAGTAGGAAATGTTCTGTGGCTTGGCTAAAAAAAATGAGAACTAAAGTCTGAGGAAACAGTAGATGTCATTATCCCCAGGAATTAAGCTTGCGTCTTCTCTTAATAAAAGTAGTGATATTTACTTCTATTGTTTATTTATAGCCTGATAGCTATTTTGTTTTCAATGTCATTATTTAGATTAGCTGCATCTTCCTGTTCTTTGTGTATTTCCCTGGCTGTCTCATAAAGATAACTCCTTTGTTCTGTTAAACTGTTGCTTGAGAGCAGCACCAAAATATACAATTTCATGCTAAGAAAAGAAACATAGTCTGGGCTTTTAGATGCAGTAAGAAAGGCATTTGCTACTCAAAACAGAAAGCAGTGGTTTGGCGTCGGGTTACTGGGGAGCATGTCATTTCTTCCCCAAGGAAGAATGCTAAACTCAATCTCCCTTTGGGTCTGTGAGCAACGGAAATGTGGTGTTTTACTATTTTTCTTGTAGGTGTGCTAATTGTTTTAAAATGCTCTTGAAACAAGCTCAGCATGTATTAGGGTTTAAATCACATTTGTATCACCTAAGAAAAGCAGAAGTGTGAACTGCAGTTCCTGAAAGAAAAAAAAAACTGTAAGAGGATCCTGGCATTTTGTTGAGGAACATATTTTGGAAGCTCCTGCCATGAGGCAAAGCCATCTGTCTCTCTATATGTCTATGTGTCTGTAGGATTTGGGTGCTGTCTCCCCTTTCTTGTCCTCAACTTCCTGCAGCTGTCTAATCGCAGTAGCCAAATTCTCCCGTATGGGCAGTCAGTGACCCTCTGAGTCTCCAAAGCCTGTTCAAGAGAGGGATTTTAGTAACCCAGCGTGCAGTCCTCTGGAATGCAGAATCCATGAAGGCAAATGCACTGAGTGTTTTAGCAAATGGTAAAATAGGCTCTGGCTTAATCCCTACTTCATCTTCTAAGAACTCTTTCCTGGACTGCATTTTCTGTATAGCTTCCTCTGCCGCCATCCTAATGCAAGAAGATTTACTATAGATTCTGTCTGGTGTTCCTTGATCCCTAGGGCAGCCACCCACACTACAGGATTCTAACTCCCTGACTCTCCAGGAGAATGATTCAAAAAAGCATGTAACAAACAGGGGTGTTGTTTATTTTTTGTATAATAACAAAAGCAGTTGGGACCCACAGCCTGATTTTCCTCTGAATTCAGTGGGTTTAGTTGAATGTAGCTCTAACGAAGTCCATATTTCAGATATATATCTGTGAGACACAAATCAGGCTTGGATATTAGCCCTCACTCAATTTGATGAACTGCTGACCAGCTCTGTCTGCTTGGGAATCAAGATCTTTAATTTTCTTTCCTCTCCCTAAAATTTTTCTCTCGCTTTGGGGTGATGTTCCCTTTATATCAGAAGAATAGCTCCACTCATCAGAGTAAGGCTTGGATATGAGTGTCTCCCAGCTATGTTTTCTCTTGCGAACACTTTCACTCTGGGAACCTCCTAAGCAGAGGTTCCTCACGTTCTCACAGAAACGGGAAGCTAACGCAGCCTCAGTCAGCAATTAACTGCTCTGCTTCCCACTATTTTAAAAGATGCTGATAAATAAGGAAGGGTTTAAGTATCCATCATGAGTCTCTAAACAAATGCGTAATCTTAAAACACTCTTGCCAATCCAAGTACACAGCTGAGAAGCCCATGGACACTAAAGTTTACACTAATAAAGTAATTTAGATGCATCAGACCACTTGGATTCACATCCATCTACAACTCTTGAGGGACCAGTCAGGCAGGCATCCTATCTGCATGTCTAAAACATACACCGGCATCATTAGCATCAGCATGAAGTATAGCAACCACAAGCTTTTTCATTCATAAACCGAGTGGGAGAAGAGTATATATACCCCATCATATGTTAGGGGATATTAGCTGGTGGGCTGTAAGGGAGACGCGAGAAGAAGTGCTTTACATGTTTCAAATGGAAGATGCATCAGTGTGCAATAAAGGATGGTAAATTCGTAGATGTAATGAAGGGGAGAGCCGGATAAAAGTTTAGCTGCATAGTGATGCAGTCACCAATCTGTAAAGGAGAATTATAGCTTCAAAATTTACTGTTGGATTACATTAATAAAAAGGCTTAGAAGAGGGAACACAAATTCCAGCCATTCCCTGAAACAAGAGAGCATCAGGGGGACTCAAGAGAGCTATACTTAAATATCTCCTCCTCAGCTATCTTTATAATTTGTTTCTATCTTTCTCCTTTTGTTCCATCTTGCAGACTCTACTAATTCCACCCATGGGGTGAGCCCTGAAATCTGCACTGTTGAGTTTGCTAGAGGTTCAGGAGAATTCTTCAGCCGAATCTTCCTTTAATTCTGTTAATGCAACTAGGAAATTAATTTTCCATTTTTCTCACAGGGCTTTCATGTTCTGTCACTTTGCTTGTGATTTGCTTTGCATGATTATAATTGTTGATAGCGTTTCTATTATTCATATCTTTTTTTTTTATTTACTGCTTTTGGAGACGTCTGTTTTATTTTCTTCACAGTTAGACTAACTCTATGGCATGAGTATAGTGGGAAAGGTCCCTGTGCTTGTAGCATCCAGCTCTTTTTTTTAATTCCATGTTAGAACTCAGATGTTACAAGCACCAGTACCAAACACCCCTGAATATTACAGTATCTCTTTCAGTAAAAATACTGTCTCAGTGAGAAGGTGAAAGTGCTGATTTATGTTAATGAACAAATTTTCCGTCCTCACTTCAGAGAATGAAGGACTTTGTAGTTGTGCACAAATACTGCTCCTGGACTATATAAAGGAAAAGTGGGAACGTGGCCATAAGTCTTCCTCACAACTCCTTTTTGTCCTGCTAAGAGAAGCTAGGAGGAGTTATTCCTGTGCTCAGAGGAAACAGGCATGACCTCTATGCCAAATGGCCAGTAAGCACTCTAAGGTAATTATGCAATTTGGGGAGTACAAAGCATTCCTAAGTGAGTCATTCTCAAGCTTTCCTAGACTCAAGTATGAGAGTTAGCAAGCTCCTCAGCCCGTTTGTTACTGGCATTTCTACCAGCAAAGAACTCATCCTGCACTGCAAATCACAGATATTTCCACTGCAATGAGTGGCTTAGGTTTACATGTGCATGAGATAAGAATCAGAGGAAAGAAAAAGCACGTTCACAGGCTTTGTTCCTGCAGAATGGGTATGGAGCAGCTTTTAAAGGGGCACATTAAGCTGTTTATACATGGAAAAAAACCCTTTATAATTAATATTCATGCAAAGAGCAGCATATATACTATCACACCTAGGACCGTGTTACATAGGTAAAGAACAAAGTGGATTTCAGCACCACGGAACAATGCAGCCAAGACCCCTTCTTAGCTTCTTTCCTAGCCAAGGGCAAGTCTGGCACTTCCAGTTGTTTCAGGGAAATGCCTTTACAATCTCTTCATGTTCAGCATGTCTCCCTACTACTACTGTCAGGGTGTACTTTCAGGCAGGCATCACTAAACTATAGAGCCAAAAAAAAAGAACAGGAAAAATTTCTGAAGTTTCTATGTCTCCTTGAATTAACTACTCCAGGAGCTTCCAGGATCCCTGCTCTCCAAGTTTAAGACTTGTACAATTGAGGCCAATAGCAAAGTCATTACACTGCACAAGCATGTCATCAGATCCTTTTGCAATATTCTTCCCCTCTTGAGAGCCCCGAGACACCACAGAGATATGTCATGGTGAGATAAAGTGCCCCGAAATGATTGAAATAAAATTGGAAGAGAAGCTTTTCTGCACCAAAATTTGGTTTGTTTTTACCCCAACAGAAGCAGATTTTATCACACTGAAGTAAGATCTGTAAGCCCTGAGGCTAGGTGATCTGGGTTTAATTTCTGTCAGCACTGACTGAGCAGCTCCCCTGCTCAGTTGTATACACTGATGTCAAGAATGTCTTCTAAGTGATGCAGGATAAACAACCTTAACTATTTTGGATGTTTATCTCACTCTACCATAAACTTCCCCAGAAGACAAAAATAAAAAGCTGGTTCCTTTTCCTCAGTAAATCTTGAAATTACTTGGGCCTCTTGCTGTAATTTCGGCTTAAAATCTATGAAATTAAAAATTTAAAATGTACTAAAAAAAAAAAGTGGTAAAAGAATATCCCACAAACCACCAGTCTAGAAAAAGACTCTATTGACACACGTTGGGCAAAAAATACATTTTGTGGAAAAAAACACATTT